GTGGCCCAACAGGACTTGGAGAATCGGAAATTGCTGGAGTTGATGCCTGATGTTTTGAGGCAGCTTGCAAAGGAGATGTTCGATGGACGGACACTGCAGTGACAGGCAGAGGTGGAGTTGGGGGTTCAGTGGGAGGAGAACCGACAGCGAGAGTCCTGGCCCGAGGTTGTCTTATCTTTACCTAAAAAAATAATATATTGTAATTTCAAAATGTGCTATTTATTTATATATTTTTTATTTTAAACTTTGTTTCTTCAATATAAATTTATCTTAAACTTTGAACCCTTATTTTGGATTTGCCTAATTTTTGGGAACGTTGAGGTTTGTAACACATCTCATATCACTAAAGAGCATATAAAGAAATAGAATACTTATGAAACAAGTAATGAATCACAAACAAATGTCAGAACTAAATGAAATTGACATTCGGTTTAAAGTTAGAAATGCATTAAAATTTAACGAAAAGAATAAAATGGTCAAGAACTATAAAGCTTAAAAAATACAATTAGCGTGTATTATTTTTATTCCAATCAGCGTTACTGTTATTTTATAACGCAATCAGTTGAATCCTAAATTATTTTTTATTTTTATATTTTGACCAGCCAATGCATATTTTGAGACAAGAAATCTAAAAGCCAAAAAATAAAAATAAAAATAAAAAAAAATTTAAAAAAAAAATTTAAAAAAAATAAAATAAATAAAAAATAAAAATGTTTGGCCTAATACAGATGTATCCTCAAGTAGTGAGAGGATTGGGCGCCGACACAACAGGGGGCCAACGTATTACATAGGAATAAATAGGATATCTTTGAAAATATTCTTCTCAAGAACAGCTAAGCCACGATTAGATATATTAATACAGAAGTACATGTATCATCAGGTAGTGTAGAATCAAGTTTGTTCAATTCATGACCCCCAGGGGGAGGGCGGGGCCACATCAGTGGGACAAAGTTTACAATAGGAATATACACAGAGAGATATCATTTGTTCAAATTATGAACCCCAGGGGTAAGGAGGGAACATAAAAGGTGTCAAAATGTAAGATAAGAAAATATAGGAATCATCTTGAAAAAAATCTTCTGTTCAAGAACAGCAAAGCCATGAGAAGTTTCCACTCAGGTTATACATGTATTTTACTGTTTGTTAAAGAATATGCACATAGTCACATGCCTGTCATTAGAGAATGACTTAATAGTATGATATTGTTTGAGCTTCACTTGTAGATAATGCCAGCTTACCTGAGATTTTTCAATTTTCCTCCGTTTTGGTTTTGTCGAGGGTTGGGGGGGGGGGGGGGCTGGGAGATACCTCCAGTTCCCTCCTCGCCCTCATTTCAGCTTTGGTGTCACAAGAAATGGAAAGTTGCTGATACATGATTCAAACAGACAAAGTCACTATCTATACAGCTACACAATAACAAACCTATCACACTGAAGTCCTCTGGAGATGTGAGCTAGGACTGTAGTCAAGAGTCCAGTCTTTTGAAAAATTAATTATGAGTAGGTAATTGTTTTTTATTGCCTTTATTTTTGAAATGGCTAGGAAGAGTTGCTTTTTCGAGGAGATTAAAAGATTATTAGATTTATTGATTATCGATAATTATTGACCATGAAAAGGATTCGTGAAGATCTAACAAACATTGATCACACAGGCCGTAATTAGTGTAATAATTAAACCATCTTCAAAATATTTATTTATTTATTTTATTTTATTTTAATTATTTTATTTTATTTATTTAAAAAATCAATCATGGCACTTGTCTTAATGAAAATAGAAAAAAAAATGTATAGTTTTCCCAGAATTTTATTCATACCAATGTTTATAATTTTTTTCTAAAGTTTTTAGTGTGAAGTGATTGAGGAAGGTACATGTAACTTAAATTACACTACGTCAGTTCTTGGTCTAAATGGGTAAAACAGAGAGAATAGTACATGTACTTTTCATTTTGTCTACGTTTTGAAATTTATTATCTTTAAACTTTACTGTAGCCATTCAAAATACATTTTTTTCTATATATATATAAAAAACACCAAATATGTTGCACTTCTTTTCATAATTTGGTCATAATTCAAATAGTTGCTAAGCAATTTAACACAATCAAATTGTAAATAACGTTATTCGCGTATTTTCCATAGAATTCTATGAAATTGTTTAACTATGAAATCACTCGTGATAAAATAACAGGAACTGAGATCTTTTATAATTGACTAAGAAATGTTTTTGATGTTTAACACCAAATATCTTGTACAGTGTATACGTATGCAAATTAAGAGGTATAACTATCGAAATTAATTTTCAACAGAAAACAGTTAATAATTGGAATTGACTATATCTATTATTGAGTTGATAAACGTAAAATCTTCATGCTCAGAAGAATAAATAAAATCACAACAGATATTATAATAATTTATAACATTAATAAATTGTTTAGACTCAATATTAATTGTTTATCTTTACAACTAATTCACGTCGAATTCATTAAACCTACACGTTCTAAAGAAAGTTCGGGTATAAAATATTATTCTGGTCCGTCCGTCCGTCTAGATCTGTCTTTTTCTTCCTATAATTCCTCTTTCAATTTAAGCAGTAACCCCATTTCATCTCTAGGAATATGATAGGTGGTGACCTGTAGATTTGAAGTAAGGTTTCAATTTTTTTAAAAAGTTTTTTTTTTTTTAATTTTTAACCTGGGGACCAAATTGGAGTTGAAAAACTACATCTCTTCTACAAAACATTGGCTCCCAAGACTTTCCTTACGTTTTATACAGTATCCAAATCTAGTCGTGTCCTGTACATGTAATAAAGTTTTGAAATTTTCATTTTCATCCTTGGGGCCAAATGGGGGCCAAGAACGACGTTTCCTGATAACTCAGGTATAAAAATCAAAATGTTAGCTATGCGGAAACGTTAACTGGAGTTCTCAAAGTGTTGACTAAGTGAGAATATAATATCTATTGATCAGGTAAACAACATCTATAAACAAGATGTGTTTCATCAAATAATTTGTCATATACATCTTCATCAAACTGACTCACCAACACAGCGACAAGCAAGAAACAAGAACAGACGTCCGAAAATATTATAGGATTAAAAATTTGTATAATTTGTATAACGTAAAAAAAGGAGAGAGAAAAAAAAAGAGTTATGTTATCAGCCTAAATAGAGAAGAAGTATAAGACGTTGAGACCTTTGGCATTGCCAGAAATGTTTTTCATCCCTGAACCTATATTATGGAAGTCAGCATGAAAACCAAAGATCTCCAATACCGGTATACAAATGACATATATAGCTGTATCGCTTTATTGTACCGAGTTCTGGAGAACCGAGAAAGATGCTGAAAAGCTTAATATTTTCCATCCATAGATTTCTGTTACAATCTGGCTGTTGGCCTAAAATGTTGTACAGGAAAGTAGTCATAACTATTTTTTAAAAAAGATCAAAGTTAGCATTTTCGTGAGTTGTCTCGACGAGTTATCCGGAACCCATTCCATCAACTTTTTAAAGTTCTGTCCCAGTTACATTCATTTTGTTTTATATTCATTATCAAGGTTTATGCTTTCCCATACTTTTCACGCTAACGCATACACCATTTAACTTTGAAATAAATTAGGCATTTCCGAGGATTATCAACAGGCTCTGCACAATGCATTCACATGAAATACAGAAAAAATAGCCTTCAGTTGCCTTTTCGATTTACTTAAAGAGACAGTACGGCGCATCTCATTTAAAAAAAACAAACAAACAAAAACTTCATAAACTTTTCCGAAAGGTCTTTTTAAATAATTATTTATGGACCATAAATATAAACATCGCAACGTATTAGGGGTTCCACATTCCATACCATTCACGCATGCGTACTTATCATAACCAAAACAGCATGGCAAAAGAGGGTAGTCCGGTAGGTCTGCTACCTTGACAAAGTCGACCAAAAAGAAAAAAAAATGAAAATAGAGCTTGAAAAAGCGAATTTCCTGACCAAACTTTACTTCGGGGATTAATATAATCGTTGGTGGAGGAAGAAACAGGAACTGTCGGCGAGACTCACACAGGGCTCGCAAAGGTTTTTCTCGACAGGTTTGTTGATACATGTTGTCATTTCTCATATCTCCATCTCATATCTCGATCGCTTTCAAAGAAAAAAGCAGTGTAAACTCAACACCTATGATTTATAAATATTACTGGCATTTCAAGTGCAAATTTTTATGTAACTGTCCTGCAAATATTTTTGACGATTTGGTGATTTTCCCTTCTCGGGCCCCAATACACAAAACGTCAATACTTGTAATTTTAATTCTTTAAAATTCGTCTGAAAGAAGATTATAAAGTTCACGATTAATAATTTACCGGAAAAGTTATAATATTTTGCTTTTGAGAATTGCTTTTCCCTCATATTCCATTGTAATTGTAAACTCTGCAGCTTAATTAGCACGTGCCATTCAGAATTCACGTGGTACAAATAAACAGATCTAAGTTTGCTCCAGTTTGTACGACCCTTTGATTTCCGGCAGATTCTGATTACGTTTATTTTGTTTGAGGAGAGAATATTCATGTTTCTCAAACTGTTGACATCAACTTTATACCCCATTTCTTAATAATATATTTGGTACATTTGACTGAAAAACACAGGTTTTGCAGCCGTACTGTCGCTTTAAGAGCAAACATGCAGTAATACCGTATAAGCAGTTCTAAATTTTATAGCGAGGATTCAGTTTTGGGATTTTTAGCGAGGGAAATTAGATGGCTAAAATTAAATATGCACCATAAAATCGTTAAAATTACTTTTGCTAAAATTTTTAAAATACTGATTTTTATGGACAAACTGCTAATTGCGTCTCGCTTCCACTTATACTGAAGTTTCACTCATTTAAAAAAAAAACCTAAAGAATTTTATCGAACTCGAAAGGAATGCAGAAATGGGAATATACTTTAAATTTAATACTTCAAAAGAGCTGACGTTTTATTTCTACGTTTCTTAATTTTGCTTTATTTAAGTTCTATATAAAAGTGTATAAGATCGTCTTCTACTATATGCATCATGTAGTCCAGGCGGAAACACCACTGAATGCAGATGTGGATATCAACTTATACCTTCTTTCTCTTTCATTTCTGTAAAGAATAAAAGCATAATTATCCATGTTCAATGATGATTTTTATCACAAGCCGAAGAAAACCCAATATGATAATATTTTCTTTTTGTACACTGTCCTCTTGTCAAAATTTGTGTGCTGTCCTTCATTTTGCAAGGAATGCGGGGAAAACCCATCACCATTGCCAAATAAAAAAAAACCCAGTCATAGAGAGAGAGATAGAGAGAGATAGATAGAGAGAGAGAGAGACCCTAATAATTTTAAAAATGGTAGCCCTATTGTTGACTTTTTTCTCACTTTTCATGATGTTGCTTTGAATTTAGAGCATCTTACCACCTGACATTTGGTAAATATCAGATCTTCCTGACTTCCTTATCTGATTTTCCATCACTTTCCCTTTTGTGTCTGGAACTAGCGCCGCAGATATGGCTGAGAAAAACATCAGCGTGCCACACAGAAAGTACATTAAACCGGAAACAGATTTACTCTAAGAAAAAAAATACACAGGGTATTTTAAGAATTAAAAATCCCGGCAAGATGATGTCACATACATGTACTTGCCAATTCTGCTAGACGGATAATCAATATATGCTTATAGATTTACCAGCATAACGAATTGTGTAAAAAATAAACGAACTAGTTTTATTTTGGAATGTAGGAAATGTTACCAGTTGAACAATTTGTGGAGCTGCCATTGCTCCAACACGAGAAATTGAATTGGCACACCCATATCCTATATTCCTACAATGAACAACGTATAAAAACACAATAATAGCAAAAAACCCTATAAGGACATATTTCAAAAGTATTTAATAATTTCAAATTGAAACTGACCCGTTGACAAGAGATAAATTACATTACTTTAGAAAGCCATTTCTCAAATTTTATCTTTACTTGTAAAAACTACACTGCTTGAGCAATATTTTGACAGAGGATTGATAAGCTTTTTTAAAATGTAGTTAAGGATCAGATTTTTAAAGTTCCAAAATACATACAACAAGTGACTACATCCTCTTATGCTCCTACAGGATTTGTTATCAAGCCGAATGTGCTTAAGTATTTTTGTTTCTATACTCCTCAAACCTATTTGACAGTACGGTTATGAATATCAATGTAGTGCAGTTGATTTCCGGGATGTAATGCTGACGTTCACGATGACTTACCTGACAACAGTGGGGTACGTCTCTGTTGTAAACGTCATGAGGGAGGCCCAGGCAGCAGCCACGCCCAGTTTGGCCACCATGGCACAACCGTTAATTATAGTGGAGCTGTTGGTAGGATCTATCAAGAGAATATAGCATATGAAGAGTCAATTTTTAATAAACTTCCTTTTTGTTTCACTAACTCCAGATTAAAGCAAAATTTTATAACTTAAGGATATATATTGATTTCAGACTTCATTAATTGTCGTTATTGATGGTCTTTTGCCTTCTCGGACACTAAAAATGAAAAAAAATCGTACACAGCAATCAAGGTGCAGTATTTCGGTTTTAATGCCAAAAAAAAAAAATGAATGTAAGAAATGAAAGAAGTTGCTTACTATATTGGGTTAAATACGTTGTAATTATTGCATATTTGTTAAATGTCTTAGTTGACAACATTTAGTTTTTAGTTAAGTTCACAAAAATTGCCAGGAAAAATTGATTAACGTAATTGTAAGGAATGTACATGTTTTAAAATGTTAAATATTTATGAACTGTTTTTACTTTTCAACACAATATAAATGTACCAATGGTAGCTGAACATGTATTATCTTTTTTTAACTGCATTCTTAGCTCTAACGTGATCAAATTATATTAACAAGTGTTCAATAACCTGGTTATAACTGCAATAATAAAGCTTCAAAGAATGATTCAGACATACGATACGTTTAAAGGACTATATTCGGTAATGACCAATATTTGCCCCCAAAATCAAACTTTGACGTAGAAATATATAATTATGTTATAAAACAGGGGAATATCTGCAGACTTCGAAGCACTCAATATTTTCATTACCCATGACGCCATATATTAGATATGACGTCAGGAAAATGACGTAAATTCAAAATTTCGATGATTTTTACAGAAAAATGTGTATATAATGTTGATATATTGATATAAAAGTCATCGAGCGCAGGTCTGATCCAACTCAATATTTTGATATGATGTGTAGAATGATTATATCAATGAAATATGTCAATATTGTTCTGGAGCAGGCCTGCGCTCTATAAATTTTATGGTAAAAATTGAACAAATTTTGTCCATTTTTCCCTCTTTCTGAAAAATAACACAAAATGCAAATAGTTTGTGACGTCATAGAAACATAAAATGCCAATAACCTACTTCGAAACTATACTATTTTTTGATAATTAAGAATTCTCATACAATATATACAATTAAGCTCATTTCAAGAAATTTTCAAAATATGACTTTTGTGGGGGCCAAACTATGCATATACCGCATATAGTTCTTTGTGATCAAACTTTCAATAGTAGTAAAAAATTATGCAGCATATTAGTAAACATTTCTCTATCTATTTTATATTTCTCTATTTTTTTGTGTGTGGATTCTCTCTCTTGAGCCGTCGGCAGTTAGAGTCGGTATCAGTCTGTGATATTTTAGTACTTATCTTACTTGCATATATGAAATGAACATATATTAACAAACAAACAGCATATTTAATAAAGAAATGGGCCCATTGATCTTGGGAGTCAATTGAATATCACTTGTTTTCTCTGAACTGTCACATCTTCTTTTCTGCTTGCTGAACTCGATAGTCCATAAGAATCTTACTTGGTAATAGGGGAAAGGAAATCTATTTAGACATCTAATAGAAAATTATGTTACGAAAGGGCAAGATTAAGTTACAAAAGGACAGAATTAAGTTACCAAATGGCAGGATTTAATTTGTTATAAAAAGACAGGATTAAGTTACAAAAGGACAGGACTAAGTTACAAAAGGACAGGATTAAGTTACAAAAGGGCAGGATTTAGTTACAAAAGGACAGGATTAAGTTAAAAAGGACAGGATTAAGTTACAAAACGACAGGATTAAGTTAGAAAACGACAGGGATAAATTGCAAAAGGAGAGGATTTAATTACAAAGGGACAGGATTAAGTAATACAACCATAGGATTAAGTTATTATAAAAGGACGGGATTAAGTTCCAAAACGGAAAGATTAAGTTATAAAAGAAGATTAGGTATCACAAGAAAAGCATGATATAGTTACAAAAAACAGGATAAAGCTGCAAAACAATAGGATTAAATTATGAAAGGGCAAAGTTACAAAAGAACATGATATAGTTTCCAAACAATAGGATTAAGTTATAAAAGGACAGGATTTAATTACAAAAGAATAGGATTAATTTATCAAAGGACGGTCTTAAATTACAAGATTAAGTTAAAAAAAGACACGATTCAGTTACAAAGGACAAAATTTAATTCCAAAAAGCCAAGATAAGGTTACAAAATGACAAGATTAAGTTAATACATAATGACAGGATTGAGTTACAAAAGGACAAGATTAAGTTACAAAAGAACAGTATTAAAATACAAAAGGACAGAATTAAGTTACAAAAGGATAAAGTTAAGTTACAAAAGGACAAAGTAAAGTGTCAAAAGGACAAAGTTAAGTTAAAAAAGGACACGATTAAATTCCAAAATGATAGGATTAATAAGTTATAAAAAGACAGGGATTAATTGCAAAAGGTGAGGATTCAGTTACAAAAGGACAGAATTAAGTTAACAAGGACAGGGTTAAGTTTCAAAACGACAAAGTTAAGTTGCAAAAGAACAGGATCAAGTTACCAAGGACAGGAGTTCATCACAAAAGGACGGGATTAAGTTGCAAAGAACAGGATTAAATTATAAAAGGACAGGATTACGTTACAAGGGACAAAGTTGTTACAAATGGACAGGAGTACGTTACAAAAGGACAAAGTTAAGTTACAAAAGGACAGGATTAAGTTACAAAAGGACAGGATTAAATTACAAAGTGACAGCAGTACGTTACAAAAGGACAAAGTTAAGTTACAAAAGGACAAAGTTAAGTTACAAAAGGGGGGGGGACTAAGTTACAAAAGGACAGGATTAAGGTAAAAATGTACGAGATTAGGTTACTAAAGGACAAGGTTAAGTTACAAAAGGAGAAGATTAGGTTACAAAAGGACAATATTTAGTTACAAAAGAAAAACAAAATTTTAGCTACAAATGAAAAGATTAGGTTGCAAAAGGACAAGTTAAGATTAAGATACAAAGGAAAAGATTAGCTTTATGTTACAAAAGAACAAGATTTAGTTATAAAGGAGGATAAGATTTAGTTACAAAAGGAAAATATCAGGTTACATTAGGACAAGAGTTAGTTACAAAGAAGTTGCTTTGACATTAAGAAATTTCTTTTTGACATAAAAAAAGATCTTCCCAGGCCTCACATTCCCATGAATGCATTCTACATTGTATAATAAATCATTTGTTTCATCACTTATAATTCAAGATAGATGAAATCACACTATGTACGACTACTATTTCATCAAAGTAGATATTATGAGTACATTCAGATATGAGCCACACCGCGTTCTGTGCTGTACGTCTGTCGGATTAAATAGTTTGACAAAAATAAACAAATCTTACTGAGAACTTGTACTGTCCCAACTGCTATCCCACCAACTGCAGCAACCATATAAAACATAAAGCATGTCCATCTTCTTCCAATACTACAAACATAAATGATACATTTACAACCATATATTTACATTTCCAATGTCTTTGTCCGAGATAAAATTACAAATTGTAAAAATACTTTATTTCTACATAAATCTCGATAGGCGCGGTAAAAAAAAATCACGTGCGGGGCGGGACAAATAGAGACAGAAGCGGGGCTATAAGCACGGGAATTTGCAGAATCAGGAGCATGTAAATATAAGGAATAACTGTCAGATTTTTTGGATTCATGACGATGATCAATCGATTGGCTTGCGTGATAATTTTATGCATAAACGCCTTCGGCGTTTATGCAAATTATCACGTAAGCCACTCAATTGATCACATCATGAATCCAAAAATTTAGACAGTTATTCCTTAAATAAAACATAAAGCATGTCCATCTTCTTCCAATACTACAAACATAAATGATACATGTACAGTAAAACACGGCTCATGATGCAACGAAGTGATTTAGATTGATAGTCGATTTAAAAGTATTTTGAACTTTTCAGATATAACAAATATTATTAATATATGATTGAATAAGTCCCACCTCTCTGATTGGCTGAGATCCAACAATGTTAGAAAAATACTACGTTATATTGACCTGCGCGTGATCTTCCAGGTCAATACAAGGAATTATTTATTCTACATTGGACCAAAAATAAATAGGGAAATTCCAAATTGATGCAAATAGTTTTGGAAAGTTATTTCACTTGCACCTGACATCCACTCATACGAACATAACATTAAGGCACATAGATTCTTGGATGAGGGGTCTGGGGTCGGGGCGGGGAGGGGGTTGCAGGAGGCCTGCCCCTCTCCCCACCTATTGAGAATGTTATTTTAAATTAAATTTTAAGGATAAAAAATTTCAAGGCATGAAAGCCCCCCTCCCCTCGAAAGTTTATTGACCTTTACATCCCACTAAATAAAATTTTGATTTGGGAGAATTCTTTTTCCTTTTTTTTATAAAGGGGGGGGGGGGCTAGTCAAAGATTTGTTTTCAGGTAAGTTGTCAATTTTTTTTTCTTTTAATGCCCCCTTTTTCAAAATCAATCCTATATATGTGCCTGACATTTATTTTTCCTACATTGCACCTAAACTAGACTTAAAAACTCCAAAATAATACAACTGGTTTTTTTTAACCCCGTTTCTCTCATTATGTTCGGTTAGTACTTCAGTAGATGTGAACAAGTAAGATGGCACGTATTGCTTAATGAGTGTGTGTCATTTAATCATTGAATCATATATAATAAAACAATTATTGCTGATCATCGTATTGACCTCAAAAACCAGCAATAATTGTATAATATTTACTTCGAATTAATAACATCGTTTGTCCATGGCATATCGCTTGAAGAATGTTTTACTGTTTTTATTCATTTATCGTATTTTCATTTGGATTCATGTTATCAAAGTAACAGAATACTAAACAGCATTTAGTAACTTCAAGCTCTCACCAGTTATTGAAGAACCACGTGACCGCTTGAGCGGGAATCTCCACAGCACTCAGAAGAAACATGTTAAGATAGAGGTCTCCAGAAAGTTCTTCTACACCGAATGATATCGCATAGTAAGAGTAACCGCTCGCTAACCTGTAGATGAAAGGATTCTTTTGAGATACTTGAAAATTGAAATTACAGGTATGGAAGTTTTTACAACATACATTAAGAGAAAAAAACCCTGATATTTACCATATAAACCACAATAAGAATGAATGCTTTGTCAGCCTCCTATCTCTGAATATATCTATGAGAGAGTATTTCTTGTCTGTTTTCAACTCTGCCTCTTTCTTGCACACTGCAATGAGTTTTGTTACATCCGGCATCTTTTTACCATTTATTTTAGCGATATGATTTATAACTTTTTCGGCTTTTTCTGTTTTGAGGTGAGAAACCAGCCACCGAAAACTTTCTGGTACCACACTGTAAAACATACATGAACATGTAAAAACGTAACTCATAAGCAATCAAAAACTGTCTAAGCATAAGGGGAAAAATGAGGAAAAAAATGAATCTTCACAATTAAAGTCTTGGGAATGTTAACGTTTGTGGTTCTTGATACAACCCATACCCTTTTTAAAAAAAATCCTTCTCATTAATTATGTAGTCCTATCTGAATATAAATTCAATATAAATACACCCTCACACCCAGGTGCCATGCTTTAAACAATTTAGGTACATTATACCAATTATACATTAAGCTTCATCACTTCTGATCAAGCGATAATTAAAAAAAATTCGAAACTTGTTGACTATTTTTTTCAATGTTAATTGATGACTGTTAATGCAATGTTCCCTCCCGTTGGGACACAATTTGATAAGTTCAGAATCTACACTTTGTCATGGAGATAATATATATGTTTAATATTTCATTGTACATTGGCTCATAAGAAGATTTTAAAAGATTTTTTTTCTTTATGTAAAGAAAAAAATCTTAAGTAAAATTCAACCCCTATTGTAGCCCCAACCTACCCTTGGGTGCCTTGATTTGAATAACTAAGAATTCACATTATGTCTCAAATGTTTCAAATAAATTTCATCTTTTCTGGTCCAGTCCAGTGGTTCCTGAGAACATTATTTTTAGAGATTTATTCCGTTATTTTTTTAAGATTAATGCACATGTCTTCAAATGTAAGACTTTGATTTTTAAAATGCGCGGTATTTTCGAATTGTTTATGGTTTACTAAAATGAAAACTCAATAACTATTCACATTCTTAAGAATTTAGGGTAATTTTGTCCTAATATCAAACTAAACCACATGTTTTTCTGAGAAATCTTGAAATTGAAAAACAACAAGTTTCAAAAATGAAAAGGTGGATGAATTCTGAAAACTGGATGGTGTTTCCTTTTAGTATAAGGACTAGACAAGATATAATTTGACTCGATATTTTGTCAGAAATGTGAAAAAAAATTCTGAATTGTATCCAATTTAAAAGGCCCAATTCAATGGACCACCATGATATGCATTGAAAAAAACATTATGCAGATAAATTATTATAAATTTCATACATGATGGATACAAGCAGAAACATTTACTTACAAAATTCCAAGTAGGAATGGTGCCGTGATGATAGCAGTGGCATAATGGATATACTGCCAATCTCTTAACCACCAACAAACAAGCCCAAAGAACGCCGCAAACACCGGCCAAGCAGGGATCGCCATTACCATGGCTCTATAACGTGTAGGGATGAACTCCAAGACAAAGTTAAAGAATACAGTTAAGTACATTCCACAAGCTAGGCCTATCACAAATCGAGCCACTGCAAACATCTGCCAAGAAGTAGAAAAACCACAGACCAGGTTGCTGGCTGCCAATAAGACGAGAGAGAGGAAGAAGGTAGGTTTGCGACCAATAAGGTCAGCAACTTGACCCGCGATGAAGCCACTAGCCAGGAGTCCTCCCATCTGTATGGTGGTTATAGTAGATGTTATCCATTCTTCATCACAAATGAGATTCCACTGAAAAAAGTATACTGTTGTCTTACATAAATATTTTCTGTAGCCGAGATATCCAATGCAAATGTAATAACGTAATAATTCATTTCTTCTATGAAACAGGGGAGTTTATCGTATTTATTTGCACTTATTGTTATCCCAGTCTTTCAATGTATTTAAGACTTAAGAATGACCCTCATACAAATTTAGTGAAATTAAAATATAAATAAAACTACACAGCTGTTGAAGGGTCAGATTAATAAAAAAAAAATATTGTTCGGATGAATGGGTATTTGTTGGGATGAATTAATCAGATATTCTTTCGGACAAAATATAAATTCGTTCCGACAACTTCTTTCAGACGAATCAGATATTTCTTTTTTACAGCTCAAAACTTCTGAGCATTCAGCTCATTTAAATGTTGTTTGTGAACAATGAATTAATTTAATATTTTCATATTTCATATGAATTAAATATTTGTTTGGACGAAGCACTTTCTTCAAAGAAATCAGACGTGTTCGCACTGACTTTTTTTTTTTTTATCTTGGCATGTTTTCATATCCCTAGGGTCTAAAGGGCTCATTCCCATTTGCAAGGTATGTTGATATTTAAAAAGAATGCTGGAGTTCATCGATGGATCGTGGTCTTTGGAGACCTGGTATTCAAACAGTCTGAAGTCATTAGAGCTTCTTTATTAGTCGAATTGTTTTACAAAACTTTTACATAAGAAAAGGAAAACTCTTGAATTGGCTTTCAATTTGACATTAAGTTATGTTGACAACAATTTTAAGATTGACCATGGTTACTCTCATTTATACGTGGTGTAGAAATATTCCCATGAACTCGAAATAAAATGACACCATATAGAGTACCACATATGTTTTTTTTTTTTTTTTTACTGGCTATAGACGTTAATAGAAAACTAACAACTAAACTTTATAACACACACAATGACTTCAGTTTTTTTCAACCGTCAACTGTCCTTATTTATGTGATCATATTTTGTTTCTGTCCCTCAACTGATTTGGTAGGCAAGATACTATATAGTGATGTTCTGAGTAGTTATACGTAATTTTTTTAAACGGAGCTAGGCTGCTACATATATTTTAAATGTAAGTTACTCTTACAGGGGTGAATTAAAAACAAAAGACTGGTCACATATTTATCAACCTGCACTAATAATACAGGCGATGTGAGTAGATTTTTATAACCCAGCATGTCTTTTGATATCGGTTAAATACTGTACTTGCCAAAAATCTTTTTGATACCTTAACTCAAAAAAGAAAAAAAAATAATAATAATAAATAAAAATTACGCCCAAAAATGTAAGAACTGCAACACCTTTTTGTGACATTTTGAAAATTAAATATTTTTTATGATCTAAGAAAAAGAAATAATGGTTTATGTTGGAAATCAAAATTTACCTGATAAAATTCAATGTATTGAGCTTTAAATTTATACTGAAGTATATTTTGTTTGACCAAGTTATGGTCAAGGCTACTGTTGAAAAAAAAAGTTATACCATGTCGGTAGTGCAGAAAAAAATATAATGTCGCCAAAAAAAAAAAAAAAAAAAAAAACTTCGATTCTTAAAATCTGTATGACAATTAAGTCAAAAAAGATTTTTCAAAGTATTAAACAATAACTGATATACTATTTAAAAAATGAAAATGTTATATTATTCACAAGTAGCATTAATAAGATTCAAGTATCTGAGCATACTCTTTTATATTAGGAGTCCAACATTTCAGTTATTCCTCCTCAATATGGAAAAACTCTTATCAGTAAATGATTCCTTGCTTTCTATTTTGGAAAATAAAAACACAAAGAACATCTTTAACATATAAATCTATCAATTACAGGAACTGTTTGTGTTTCAGATCCCTATTTCTGCGGTCAGGAGTGTAACATATTGTTGTTTTAAAGATCCAAGTTTAATGATGGAATAAATTCTTTTCATAGTAGTGGTCAATAAGGATCTATTTGTCATGAATAATTTATTAATTTTTGAAATCTGTATCTTTTTCAATTTCAAGAATCCAGACGTGCTTTTATTTTTTCTTTTAATTTTGCATGAATTAAAAAAAAAGAAAGAAAAGAAAAAACACACTCACGCACACACACCAAAAATTGTAATCAAATTCAAGTAAATCCACCACCACTTCACCGAAACAACAGAACATGTTCTGGTGTAATATATGCTCCACAACTCTACGTTAAAGATTCACATGCTCTTGGTCAGGAGTGCAACAAAAATGTTAAAATTATCGATGATCAAAATGAATAAATATAAAGAAAATATTGATGAGTAGAATGTTTCTGATTGACCTCAATTGCTTAAAGTGTTTGTCACTTGAAATAAAATGTCCTGCAAAATATAATTTTATCTTCTAAATGTATTTGAAGCTATTTTTGTGACATTAGTAGGTAATAATTCAAGATACAAAACCAATTATGAATTGTTCATGAAGTACATGTACTGGGACTTTAAATATTTGCACAATTTCGTTACAACTTGATGTTGACAAAACTTTATGAATTTTGTGTTCAATGGTTTTAAATTTTAAATTTAACTACAGTAAGGAGTGCAACAAAACAGTTTTAATAATATCAAAGAACTTCATCTCTCTGTACTTAAAAAATAAATTGCAGAAAATCTTTGATACTATTTGTAGTTGAAATCATTACCTCTATCAACAAATTACAGACATTTTGGACGTTTCACAACAGTTTTCCCCTCATATTTAACTCCTGCGATACAAACTTATTATAATAAGTATATTGGCTAAAACTATATTTGTCTGACAAAGATGTAATTTTCTATACATACCATCAATTTGTGACACGAATTTTCTGAGAATTTCTTGATAACGTATAATGATATACTTCCTAGTGATTTCTTTTACTGGTTAATATTCCTTTATTATTTGAAACTCTTTCTGTATATTAAGCTCTTTTAAAACAATGAATTTTGTTCGTAACAAGAAATTTCAGATTGGCACAACGTACATTTGGACGAGACATTTATGTTCAATCATGTCTAAATTGATACAAAAAACTCTTTTAGCATATAGTGTACAACATGTATATCAAATTCCACCACCGCACAGCTCGAACTTATATAGTAAGATAATGAGCTACCAATTCTATAAATGTGTCGTATGGAAACAATCAATCTTTTTTAGTCCCCTACCGGTGAAACCGGAGGGGACTATAGGTTTCCTCTGAGTCTGTCCGTCCGTCTGTCTGTCTGTCTGTCTGTCCGTCTGTCTGTCTGTCCCTCTGTCTGTCTGTCAGTCTGTCCCACTTGGTTTTCCGCATTTTTTTCCTAAACGCTTGCAGATATTGAGCTGATTTTTGGTGTGTGAGTGTATCTTGATGAGTTACAGAAAAGTTTGCATTTCGTTCCGCTTCACTGATTTTTGACGGAATTACGGCCTTTTCAATTTTTAGGGGTTTTCCGCAATTTTCTTCTAAAAGCTGTCAGATATTGAGCTGATTTTTGGTATGTGACTTTACCTTGATTAGTTATAGATCGAGTTTGCATTTCGTCTTGCTTCATTGATTTTTGACGGAATTATGGCATTTTCAATTCTTAACCGGAACCAGATTACACTTGCCGGTAGGGGACTAGTATTGCTAACGCAATACTCTCAGAATGCTTGTTTATTTACTTATCTATTAAGTTTCGATGCGTTTTCTGTTGTCGTAAACTCATAGATCCACCATTCATCGAAGTTGTTTCATTTTTCATCATTTGAGCGCAACATTTCTTTTCTGGGAGAAATAATGAATTTTTTTCATGTGCCTTAAACAGGTATCATGTTGATTTTTCTGGATCCGCTTATTTAACAGAAGAATGGTAAGTCTTGTGCAATGAAAATATAAACAAATATATCTAAACAGTTTTAGAGAATATCTAGTAGGTAGGACAAATATCTAATTTGTCCAGCGAAGAAATACTAATAAGTTGTCACAACAAATATTTGATTCGTTCTAACAAATACAACATTCGTCCGAACGAATATGTAGTTCGTCCAAACAAATATCTTAATAAATTTGTCTCAATGATTTACTAAAACTATCAAATTTCTAACACGTCCGAAAAAAAGAAAATTCTTGCCCTTCGTCCGCACCGTATGCGAGACCTACCTCGCTAACGACCGTGGACATTTCGTCACTGAAACGTATCGACAAACAGGTGTCATCAAAAGAAGAGTTGGACGGTGGTCTACAGGATTTCAGTGAATCTATGTAACTGTCATTGAATCCGGAAGTTCTGTTTGCCCATGCGCACCACCAGTCAGGCGTGGCTCCAGCAAACGACATCATTAACATGCTCCATGTTATAGCCAGTTTACTTCCAATCACAACAAGGATCACAATCCATTGAAGTTTCCCCAGTCCACCACATTCGATCAGAATCCGTTCTAAAATGTCGTCAACTTTTTCTTTTAGTTCCTCCATCTCAGACATTTTTTAGCCGAAACTGAATGAGACAGAAAAAATGCAAAGTTAACATCTTTTCAAACTTCATGTTCCTGTCAGGGTGTTAGTCACAAGGTCACAGAATGTAATTCTCTAACTACATGTACCTGTCAGGGTGTTAGTCACAAGGTCACAGAATATAATTCTCTAACTACATGTACCTCTATGGGCTAAACAAATGAATTGTTCATTCTTAATTAAGGTTCATCGATACTCTGATAAGAGAGATAACTTTTAATGACATAAATGTCTATTATTCCTTTATAAATTTGTCAAGTTGAAATGTCTTTTTGCCCAGTTTTGCCCAGCAAGCTATGCTATAATTGTTTATATTTTACTGAACAAATATATTTCGTTTGGAAAATCATAAAAGTTAAAGAAACATTTTATATGAGTGAGCAGAGGGTTTATGAACCTTAAACGCTACACACAAGTCAAAGGGTATTGTCTATGTAAGACTCCAAAGTCCGATGGTCACGCCAAAGGCTGATGGTCTGCGAAAAACCTCGATGGTTTGGTGTCGGTACGGTTATAAACAGGTTGTAATGAGTTAAAATATTAAAATGCTTAAGATTATATTAGACCTTGATTATTTAAGTAATTGAATACTTTATTTGCACCCCCCCTCCCATTTTAGTAAACAACAGTGAATTTTGTTCATCAATACTTTGTTGTCTTTGATTTTTTTTTTCTGAAACAAAATGGCAGGTATCTTTTGTTGGAAATGAAATAAATCAACTCAGTGTTTCAATCTTTATAATATAATTTCCTCAAAGTATCCCCTCCCCCCGCAAAAATTATTAGTATATAGAGGGATTTTGCTTCAATATGTTAGTTCATTTCCTTCAATATGCACCCATAAGACATATTACCTAAAGAAATTTACTCATATATTCCATATGAAAGTACATCCATAGATATGAATACTTGTGGAAAAACCACAAAAAAATTAAAGTTATTTGATGACTGTCAGACAAATAAATTAAATAAAACAAATCTAAATAAAAAATCCTCCTAAAAGTCATTATTTTTTTTCTCCACAATAGATAACAAGAGTTACAAAAAGGAAACTTACTTGACCTTTATGTCCAGGAAGAAAAAAAAGTCGATGCTAAATAACCTTGTAAGATAAAGAATCGGACACCCTATCACTACGCTGGAATTTGGTTGAATGAGATAGCATTTCTAGGTTTTACCTATTTAAACTTCCAAAATTTTGTTTACGCGGTAAATTTGCTGTGACGTCGTTTCTTTGTTCTAATAGTCCACGATTTTTCTGTGAGCGTCGTATTTATCTTTGAGCTTTATGATTAATAAGTGTACAATCTTCGGAAGTCATTGACTTGAGAGATCACCCACCTTAAAACTCCATTAAAAAAAATCAGGAAATAATCAGTAACAGTGAAAAAAAAGAAACAAATAGGCGAAAATTTTCTTTCATTTACTTGTTATGCTAAAATATATTGTTCATTTTTCAATTTATTATTTTTTTTAAGAAATAGACTTGAAACACCCTTTTTTATTTAGAATACCCATTTGCGTGGTAAACTGAAAATTTTATGAAGAGGTCTCCTTATTTTCCGTGCTATTTTTGTAATTTCTAAGTACATGTAGGACTACTGCCTATACATGCCATCTTTGTAAAAAGAAAAGAGGCACACAATTTCTCTTTAAAGATTTCTTTTACGTCTACCTATGAAATTTAGCTAAGTTTTGAAAGCTCACAAGAGATTGTCACTTCAATGAACATAATGTTATTTATTTAAGATAAAGCTTGTTAATACTATTTTCTGTTTAAAAACTCTTTACTCATTAAATTAAAAACTTTATAACATTGAAAATGGAAGAAATATAGATTACTTTCCCTCCTATAATTCAGCTGTAAGAAGTGCCATTTATAGAACGCCTTATGTGAACAACAGGCATGCTGTGATCATATTTGACTTCGATATTATATACAGATATGTTAAAGAATATGCTGATACTTTAACATAATATGAAGATACTTTAACATGATATACTGATACTTTATTATTTAGTGATTTAAAATTATGTCAAAGGGGCCGGGACACAGTTGCATTGTTTACATGTTAAATTTCTATGCTTATTCAAAAAATAAAACCAGATAAATGAATTGAACTAACATAATTATTCCTAGAATTCAATGACAACGATATTCTTCTTTGCATCACGTCAAACATTTGTTTTTGTAAAGAGGCACGAGCTCTGTTATTATTCATGTTAACGTTTTACCAGTTGTGCTCAATTTGTTAAATAAACTCTGTGCATCACTGAGCAAGGAGTGACAATACTGGTGAGGTGGTTTTGCTTTCTCTCATTTCTACTCTGAATTTTCTGGATTATTGTTTTAATATTTTTTCATTAATACACAACAAAATTTCTATTTTTCTTAAGTATCAAGGATAAAGTTTACTTCGTGAAAGTGCAAGAATGTGTCAATCAAACACGTCCCGAAATTGTAATAATTTCCAGATAAAAGAAGTTTCTGAACGCGCTTTTATCATATTTCCGTGTGAAATGCTATAGAAACATATAAGGCATGATATTATACAGAAAATTTGAGAAAATATTCACTTCAAATCTGTGTCCAGGCCCTTAAAAGCATCAGCATATACTACTTATGTCAAAGTATCATCATATAACGTTATAGGGGCAATGTCAGTCAGCATATCGTGTTAAAGGCATTATATGCCAAAATTTCGGCATATATTGTCAAAGTAACAGCATACAAAATCAGAGTATCAGCATATAATGTCAAATTATCAGCATGCATATAATATCAAAAGTTCGGCATATAAAAATATGAAAGTATCAGACTATATTGTCAAAGTATCATCAAATAATGTAAAAGTATCAGCAAATAATGTCAAAGTATCAGCATATTCTATCAGAATATCAGCAAATAATGGTAAAGTTTGTATCAGCATCGAAGGGTAAAGTATAAGCATAAAATATCAAAGTAATAGCATATCATGTTAAAGTATCAGTATACAATTTTAAGGTGTCAGCATATTATGTCAAGATAACAACATAAAATGATAAACTCTTTCATCACAACATGAATGTTACCCACAGAGCAGTTAAGGCGTCCCATAGCCATTCACTTTTAGTTCTTTTTTTTGTCTGTTTATTATAATGAAATTGACTACAAATTAGCTTCAGAGAAGAAGTTTTGGAAAATAGTAAGACATAGCTCGCATATAAATATTAAGAAATATTTTAACTTCGTAGATGGAAATGATATGACCTGACTAATATACGATATACATATATATGCATCTCCTCTCTCCAGTTGCAATACCTGATAGATCAATTAGAAGATCCTATAATTTTATTATAAAACTGTCTTCTTCTGATTTAAAATTCCATTTCAATCCATTCAAGATATTTTAAAAGATTAAAACACTTAAGATTACGATGAAACCTAGCTGTTTATTCAAGGTGAAGGATATATCTCTAAAAAGGCAAATGTTATGAAATTTTCGTATGTACTTGAAATTAGCCTAGATATGCGGTCTCTTTGTTTATATAGTTTACCTGACGAGGTGTTCAAGTATTTCTGAGTGGTTAACAGTGTTTCTGTGTTTTAAGTTTGATTACACGGCACTTGTTACCTGTATTTGTATAGAGATTAACGGATATCTACATATCTTAACATTTGGGGGCTGCGTAAGTTGGTCAAATTTGGTACTGTGAAACTGATGAACTTCGTGTGATTTGTGTGGGATTGTTTATAGAAGTAGAAACAGCGGGGCTTCATACAAATGAATCAAAATGACATGCTCTGAAAAAAATCGTGCACAGATTGTCCTTATGAAGAGTACCTACACCAAAATACATAAATGGAATTTTTAATTTTAGTAAATATTTAACAAAAACTTTGTAAACAAGCTTTCTTAACATCAAAATAAAATCCAATGTTGTAAAGTTTAAAAAAAAGATACCATTTTGGTTTGATGAAGAAATTTCTTTAATAATGTTCTTTTTATCAAAAAATAAATACATTTGTGGTATCTCTCTATTATATAAACATGCAGAGAGCAAATATCTTCATACCTGTATGAAGTTTTTCGAAGGTCATAGGTCATTACGTGACCTAATCACACAGCGCAGTAATATCTACATGAAAAGACTTACTCCACTAAGCAATATAGCATGTTTTTCATGCATAAAAATGTACAAAATACGCAAGTAAAATAATAATCATTTTATTTACAATGTAAACGAGTATTTAATACAGTTCTTGATCGATTTTACATAGAGAATAGAAAACTACGTGTTATAAGTTTCATGTCTGAGCTGCATACTCTCAACGTTTACCCTTATTTTTCTCGCAGACCTCTGAATGATATAATTTTTTTTCCAGTAAACTTTACTCACAATAAATTTGAAAATCTGTTGAAAAATATCAATGTAATGCAATCACGCCACAAACAGCTGACAAACACTGCACTTTGGAAGTTCGGTAGGCACAGCTCCATCATCGAGATCGTTGTGATGTTGTCTTAACAATGTAAGCTGTCACCAGTGTCTCCATGTCAACATCATAAATTAATAAATATGCCTTACTTAAATCGTAGATTTTATGTTTTTGATCAAATTTTGTACTTGATTTCAAGTTATCTGGTCCGGACAAGTGTCTCCATCCATCCCTTTCCGACCGAAATTCCTCCAACTTTTTATTATCAAACATCGGACGTGTTTCTTGTGTTTTTAAACATCGAATATGGGTTCTCATGAATACAAAAATTCCAAGACACATATATGCTCACTATAATTGATCACAAGTAACCTTTCACAGAATATTCCCTTCAAAACAGAATCCTTTGCCAGATGAATTTGAAGCGTAACCGCTTTTCAAGCCGATTTACACCTAGCGTAATTAGTCAAAATCTACGACGTACAGTTAGTGCAATATTTATATTCGATTACATTCAATTGTCCGTCTCAAATGTATATATAAGTAA